GAATTATATTCATATCAGAATAATACCGTCCTGACAATGCAAGATATGTTAACAGGTTTGCGTATCATAGTAAATAATAAACAAGCAAACTAGGCACTTAATCGACTTAAGAATGGTCCAGGACGGATCGGAAAGCCGTCGTCTCTTCATTTTCTAGTGTGTGGATTGGTCAACATACTTCAGCCACGTTATTGTAACTCATCGCCTGCATAGGCACTTAATGCCACCCCTGAATCAACAGAAATTGTACCCACATTAAACTCCTTAACTGAAACTCCTAAAGTGGCCCAGTCGTTAGGTAATAAGGGTATTAATAATCAATGTAATACTAACAGGTCAAACACTGATTTATCAGTGAGACCTAAGAGTAGTATAAATACTCCCAAGAGTACAACAAGAACTCACAAAAAATAAACTAATAAATACATACAAACAACAAAGCCTTCATAACCTGCAAACAATGTTTCCCCTAAACCGGTGAACCTTAAGCATGCTGTAGGCTGGGGGTTGTGTTTGTTTTGCCATCAAAAACATTCTTTATATAAATGTATAAATTATCCTAGTAGAGACATCCGAGTCAGATGACTCAAACAGTTACGCAATGTACCAGGTGTCTCAAACACATAATACTAAAAGCTGTAAGACCCCACTGAACACATACAATAGGTTTTGAAGGGGACAGCATCATGCTGCACTGTGCAAATGTATGAAATCAAATTATACAAATCACAAGATAAGAGATAGAAATCTCACACAAGTTCAGTGTTGCAAGGTGTGAGAAGTTTACATCATACAATAACCAGCATCTCAAGTAAATGAAATATTGTTCACTGCCCAATTCCAAGTCAAGAAAAAAGGGACCAAGACCACCATTCGTGGCCTATTCGACTAGGGACCCAAAAAACTTTCATTACTCGGAAACCGGCAGAGGCACTTAAATTAAAACCAATCACACAGGTGAAATTAAACTTGTCAGGGTTCATGATAAGTAGAGGATCCCGAGAATATACAGTAGTACAACCGCTCATACGCCTAGGTGGTTATGTCAGGTGTTATGATCCCAGGTAGCTGAAAAACGAGTCTCCCCCTGAGAGTTATTCTGCCAGGCCTGACCTAACTAAGAGGTCAAAGAAATATCGACCTGGAAACACATATATTAAACACTTGATTAAATTTGACGACTAGATTAAAAGTATGGGCAATGAATAAGAATATGCATAAATGACTTGACATGAGATGTGGAGAATTTGTGTGAGGATCGCTTCAGAGGGGTTTGACCTTACTTGAGCTGCAGAAATCGTGAGGGGGGGTTGTGCTCCGTTTGAGCCCCTGGTGAAAAAGAACCCCTGAGTGATATACATTCAAGAAGAAGGAAGTGGACAGACGTCTCGCTTGTGGAATAAGTTTGTGAACGTGTCCGCTCAAATCATGGACTGCAGGGAGAGTGTGGAACAGTCTTTAAAGCAGTTTTGTGGGCAGCTCAGAGCGCTCTGGTGGTGACCGCTCAGTCAGTGAACGCCACGAGCGGACCAAATTCTGTGGTAAGCCATTTTAAACCAGTTTACAGTGATTGCCTGTGGTGGTCGTGTGCCCAGCGACCGTAGCAAATGTCTATTGATATATTAGGCATATTTTATTAAGGCAGAAAGCCTAAATAAGAGAATAGAGATGAGGGAACCAGCTGAGGAGAGGAGCAGCACATCCTCTCCCGCCGAAAGCTTGGAGGTAACTGACTGGGCCTGGTGGCAGCCACTGGCAGACAGTCTCAGGTGGCCACCACGGGAGGGTGGAGAATGGACTCCCCCAGGCATGGGGGAGTCTCCTTATGGCAGGTGGGAATCATAGGGATGTCGAGTGGAGACATTTATTGTGCAGTTTATTTTAGTTATATGTATGTAGAGGAAGATATTTATGGCGTGTCAATGGGTTGCAGGTTTGTCTGGGGAAGGAGTTGCTGAGACAACTTCGAGGTCAGAGGAGGAGTCTGTAGATGGAACTCCAAGAAATACTGAGCTCTGTAGAAGAGCAATCCCATAGTGAGGAATTAGACCTCAAGCTGTGAGAGGAGAAGCAGTGGAGTGGAGTTACACGGGCTTCTGTGATACCAGTAGTGAAGCATCATTGCTGTTCAGGGAAAACTTCATGGTGCAGCAGCCTGGAAGAGCTGTAGAAGAGCATGGTAGATAATTGTGTAGGAAACTGGAGGCATTCATGGTAGTGGACCTCTAGATGTAGAGAGGAGGTTCTTAATGTCCACTGATAGAGGGTTGGTAGTCTTTAAGTGTCATTAGTGTTACGAACCCTTCGTAACCAGGTTCTTCATAATCTCTATGATCCTACTCAAGTTCAGAGAAACCTAATCTTGGTGGGAATATAGTGTAATGTTTAAAGGTAAAAGTGAAATAACATTATTATTTTCCCATCACCATTATAATATTTACAAGTCTATGCAATGTCAACCGGATTGGCATTGCTAGCCTGCTTCACAGATGACCACAAGGTGCCTCTGATGAGGTCTTCATTGCGCAACCATTGATACGCTCAAGCAACAAAGTCGGCAACGCCTGACCAGCCCCACTGGCTGTTACCTTCCAGAAATGTATCTACAGCGCTCAACCGAAGCGTTCATCTAATCTTACTGGCTAGCACCTCCATGAGTGAAATCTATAGTGCTCAACCACAGTGCTCGACCTGCCCACTTGGCCAGCCTTTCCAGGAGTAAAGTTCACAGCGTTCGACCAGCCCAAATGGCTAGTCCTTCCAGGAGTAAAGTCCACAGCGCTCGACCATCCCACTTGGCTAGTACCTTCCAGGAGTAAAGTCCACAGTGCTCGACCAGCCCACTTGCCTAGTCCTTCCAGGAGTAAAGTCCACAATGCTCGTCCAGCCCAACTGGCTAGCACCTTCAGGTCAACCTTCGTCTTCCACTGTCCCGGCTTCACTCACTTCCCTAGCCTGCCTCTGGTTACTCGTCACCATTCAGCCGAGCAGACTAAAAGATGGGAAACTCCATTTAACTGGAGGGTTAACTGCTGTAGTTCAGGGCCAGGATTGTAGATGGCGCCAAGGTCTGTGACAATTAGCATGCATGATGCAGTGGAAGGTGAGCGATTGGACGTTTGATTCAAGGAATATATATATTGATGTTTATGTTGTTGCAGCCTTAGGCTGGATTCCTTGTGTATATTTATATATATTCTAGGCCTGATAGTGCCATATTATATTACAAGATTTAACCCACTAGGTGAGGTTGGTAGCATAAGTAGCGAGCCAGGAGTTGGGCTACCACTTGATATAAGCAGCTGATAGAGCCCTGATGGGATTAAATACAACCTGACTATAATAGCATAGAGTGTTGGAGTCATATTATTATTCTTGTATGTATGTTCTACATGTTCACTGTCTAAGTAAATTAGTATATTTTAGTAGCAGTCTTTCCTGTAGACATATGTTATTAAATATGACCAAAAAAGTAAGATTAATAATTCTAACACGAATTTTCTCAATCTTTCGTACATTTCTTTTCACTGTTGGAGGTAATTCAAAAATCAATTCTCCAAAATTCATTTTTATTTCTAGTCTGACGCGACACTTGAGCGCGTTTCGTAAAACTTATTACATTTTCAAAGACTTTACACATACACAACTGAATAGAACTTACATATCTCCGATTTGTTTATATCTACATTTGAGTGAGGTGGATGGGGTGAGGTGGTATTTAATTGGGTATTAATTTCATCAACATGTTGATGAAATGGCTGCAAGTAGGTTGCAAAGGCTGCAAGTAGGTTTTATAGTGTAAAATAGAATCTATATGAATAAAAATGTAAATGTTCGTTTGTTCAAAATTGCTAATCTCCGAAAGATCTTCACCGATTGCTTTGAAATTTTTACACAACGTTCCATTCACATATCAGTGTGTTTTGATATACCAACTATATAGATGTCATTCTGTGACAGGTAAAAACATATTTCTTTAATGTGTTATTCATGTGAAATTTCATGTGTGGGAAATCTCTGAAACATCTTTATCGATTGCTTTCGAATTTTGACACAACGTTGCATTCAAATACGTGCATGTTTTTATATACCTATGTATATATATACCACACCTGTGACAGGTAAAAACAATTTTTTGAGGGAAAAACAATGCCATCTTTTGCACGTAAAAGCAACACATGCTATTCTAAATATGTTACGATTCCATTTTAATGTTTCTGATGGCATTGATAAATTGAATTTTCATAGATTTTGATTTATTTAATTTTGTTTTAATTATTTTGTGTGACTCTGCATTGGAACTGAGCTGTGTTGTTTACCATACTGTTAATTTCGTGAGTATAGTTTTTGTTTATTTTTTTTTTCATTTCGATTTTTTTAACTGTTCTTATTTTTCAGTGATGGGAACATCAGATCATTTGCTGTTGTCATTTTTCTGATGGGAACATCAAATCATTTGGGAACGCATAGGTCGAGGGAGTGAAGAATGGTGGGGAGGACAGTATTAGGGGATGGTGGGGAGGATGACAGGACAATGGTAGGGAGAACAAGGGTAGAGAGTAGTGGGGAGTACGAGGGGACAGGAGAGGGGGGAATGGTGAGGAGGACAAAGGGATAGCGGAGTGGAGGATGGGGGATTGGGGGATGGTGAGGAGGACGAGGGAACGGGGATGGGGGAATTTTGAGGAGGACGAGGGGACGGAGGAGTGGGGAATTGTGGAGGGGACGAGGGGAATGGTGGGAAGAACGAGGGGACAGGGGAGTGGAGGATGGTGGGGAGGAAAAGGAAACATGGGAGGGGTGAATGGTTGGGAGGACGAGGGGGACGGGGGAATGGGAAATGGTTAGGAGGACGAGGGGATGGGGGAGGGAGGAATGGTGGGGAGGACTGACGGACAGGGAAGGATTGATGTGGCTCAGCAACGTGCATGCGTTGTTGAACCACAACAACGCATTGCTGGGTAAAGCGTGTGTATCAATAATTTTGTTTCTCTCCTTAGGTGCATGCGCTGAGGATGAATTCAGGTGCTTGAATGGTTCTAGATGCCTACCCATGACGTGGCAATGTGATAACGTCCATCAATGCGATGATAACTCCGACGAACTTTCTTGTGTTAAGTCGGGATGTGTGTTGCACTCGAAAGACTTCACTCAAATATCAACATTTATTTTATACCTAATATTTCATAATTAATACTTCTAAATGTTCTTGGCTTGAAATAGGAGCGGCCAGTACGCTCATTCACTGATCCATAGGTAACTTGACAAATGATTTGTTATTGTTACAATAAAGGAAATGTTAAGTTTACTTCTTAATTTGATAAATCAAACAAAAGATAATAATATTTTTGTCATATATTCTATGTTGTTGTCCTCTATTCTACTTGCCAGTTTTAGTTGAGCCAATAATTTTGAATACTGTAAATGGGATTAAAATTTGCCACATCTCCAACTATTATCCATGATGCCAAAAAGAGAAATATTATATTATAAAGAAAGCAGAGTAGAATTCATCAGATTGTATATTGCTTCAGAAAGAAGGCAACGTGACAGCATCATGCTACACTGTGCAAATTTATTAAATCAAATTATACAAATCACAAGGTAAGAGATAGAAATCTCACACAAGTTCAGTGTTGCAAGGTGTGAGAAGTTTAAGTTTTGTGCGGGATATCCTGCACAATAAGTGGAGTAAGAGAAGATTATATTGCAAATTGAAAGCGTGAATCCTTTAAGAACGTCCTCTAATATATTTTGTTAAACAGCATGATAGGAATGCTGAAACATTGGGGTTGGTTAAAATATTATAGATATTTACTGAAGGCTACAGCGAATCCTTGTAAAGATTAAATGACAATACCAAACTCATCTAGTTTAATACACACACACACACATAGGAGAAGATGAATCAGCAATGCTTGATTTGATATTTACCCTAAATGAGTGGAATATAAAGGAAGTCAAGATGGAAGCACCCTTGGGAATGAGTGATCATACTGTATTGAACATTGAGTACCTGATAGAGCTAGGAATTATCTCCCCCAAAAAAGAACTAGGGAACAAAAGGCTGGCATACAGAAAGGGAAATTATGAGGAGATGATGTTGGAAAATCTGACACCATTTAATAATAATATCATACAGACAGTTAATATTGCTGTGTTGTATAAACAAGTCACCCATAGAAAATGTAAATTGTAGTGGAATTTCCGTCTATAGAAAACGGGATATCATTACCACATACTATTATAAATTCACCACCTATTATGGTGGGAATTATTCTTAAATACATTAGTCTTTGGACTTTACCATCATAAAAACATCTCATATAAATTAACTTAATTATCAATATTAAAATAGAGTAAATGTGACCCTTCTATCACTTTCTGAAATCTGGACAATGTAAGCCAGGGGTCAGGGAGGAGGGAGTGGTCAGCCATTATTATACTGAGACCAGAGGCATGGGAGCAATTCGGCTCCTACCAAAGGTGTACCATCATCAACACGCTGTCAACAAATACAAGTTAAGTGTTCTACCGAAACCCATTTATCTATCATTAGATAGGGTGAGTTGGTTAGAGCATGAGATCGCCTCATACTAAAGGTAATTAAGCCCAGGTCTATATGGTTCCATGTACAGTGTTTTCTCTGATATAGCTGTCATATATTAGGATTCTGGCTTCATAGCTAGCGCCCTTTTGACAGGTCAAGACGAGGAAGCAAGCTTTGTGCATCAGTTACCAGGGTGATGGAAGCTACCTCACAGGAGGAAAATGTGATGTCTACATCCTGGTTATACCTGGTGGACTAAGGCCTGCTGTACAAATAAAATAAGGAACCTCTTCAATGTATGTAGTCTAATACTGTAGTTTAATTGGCTGCATATATATAAATTTAATATAAACCCCCCTAATGTGTAGAGGATCGATTTGTGAGATTATGAGATTATTGCAGAAATACAGTCCACTTAACATCATACAAATTGCTATTGAAGTATATAAATTAACGTAAATATAAATTCATATAAATTAAATAAATATTAATCTCACAGGTCGGTTCCCACATTGTTTGGTCCTTCGAACCGGATTATTTGGTCCTTTGAACCCACATTTGGTCATCTTAGTACCGGATGAACCAGTTAACCAGTGGGTTCATTAAGTATACAAAGCCAGCAGTCAAAGACGGCGGCGTTGCCTCGAGCGAGTTCATGAGCCCCGCTCAGCCCAGTTAAGCCTTAGTCAGCGGTTTCATGCACACCCACAGATTTGGTGGCGTGTTATTCTGTGAAATGACAGCGCTAATATTGAAGCCAGCCAAATTAGTGACTGTGTCTTCGCGATATTGTTCAAGGATTTTGTGGAGTTTATTTTGTGAGGTCACTAATAATATTTAATACTTCTAGATAATATTAGAAGTTTCATAGAGGCAATTAAGAGGCTATTATCAATAATGTGTATATTATTTCTCCAAGATAGAGAATTATTTAATATATTGCACTAGTGTTCTCACTATAATATTTACTAATTGCCAACCCACAACAGGGTAGGATATTACCATTGACTAGTTGAATTATTATTGTTCATCCTAGTCCCATTATTACCATAGTTAGTTGTACTACATTAAACAACCTAACACCATTAATGAATGGTCCAGACCCTATTTTGGGTGTAATTTTTATCAATTCGAGTTGAGTTGTATATATAATAATTTACTTATGATCATCACACCTTTGAGTGATTAATTAGTGTCTCTACCATCCTAGGGTGATATAGAAGAGCTAACCTAAAGGTACTTCCAATGACACTGGTTTATCACTCATATCATTAGTGTGTATGATTGTATATATATAATGTGTATTAATTTTAAGTGGTAACCTCTAGTAGAGGTAGGATTACAGCCTAGCGAGTGCAGAAATTTTACCCTAGGCTACCATCAGTGCTTGTTCAGTATTATGAGCGACCCAAGTACAAGCCCCACAAGGCTTCACCAACTAGCCAGTATGGATAATGCAGGGAGAATGAAAAGAACCCTTGCAGGTCTTAAAGGCCACTTAACAAGACAAATCAAGAAATGTAAAGATTTGTCACAACAATCTCAGGTAGATTATGCTGACCTGGAAAGCTATTATCAAGCAGCTGCAGGTAAATTTGAGCAAATCAAATGCCAAATAGCAACATATGTGGCTGAACTTGCCAACACCAATTTATCAGAAACAGAAATAGACGACATTATGGTTGATCTTGCGAATTATGAAGATCACACTCAGGCCACGTTACAGCCTTATGTCAAATTAATTGCCCAGAACAAGGCAACAACAACAACAGCAACAGTTGCATCTAATACGAGTCAAGCAGAAGCTCGACTCCCTCCAATTAATTTACCCACTTTCTCAGGAAAAGATGAGGAAGATTGGGATGAATTTTGGAACAAATTCGTTGACCTTGTGGACTCAAAACAATCTTTACCAAAGAGTAGTAAATTCTCTTATTTGCAAGGCCAATTATCAGGTGAGGCTAAGGGCCCATGGTACCCGAAAATCCGAAGAAAAATGGAATATTTACGAAAAATACTACAACGTTCTGGCAACACTGTGGTCCAAACTGTTTAATGATATCCTGAAAAATAACATAATTAGAGTCAAATTTTCGACTGCAACTTTCGTGAATCTGGTCCTCGCAGCGTGAGTGCGCCGCGAGGTATTGTATCTTACGTTGTAGAAGTCTTATTTTTCGTAATAGCGTTGAAAATAACATGTTATGCATAAAATGAATATAAACTCACTCATTGGCAACAGTATCGTGAGAGAAAGAGGGTGGTATGTGGCTCAGCCCCTCAGTGACTGAGTGTCTCTCTTGGAGAGTGGATGTATCGCTGACGCGCTCTCACAATAACTCCCAGAACTCATGCTATGTTTGCTATTTGTACTGCAATATGACTTACCAAATGAACAAGAGAAAAGCATTGAAAGCTAGATGCATGCGAGCTCTCCATAGAAGGTACGAGCTGGCCGCAATGCGTAAATCACGCATTGTCACGAGTGACCGCGAGTAGAGTAACTTGTCGCGCGCGCTACGCAACTCCAACTTTTACAACTAGATCTGCCTGCACAGCCTTTATTTATTATTCAATTTACATGAAACTTGCACATTATATGTAGAGTTTACGCCTCTAAAAACACATGTAGCTTTTCTTATCTACGTAGATTTATTGATTTTATAACTAATGATACACTTCATTTTGTTGCATACGTTTTTGGGAAACTTTTAAAAATCTGTATTATTGCACTAAATACATCTGGGTAAAGATCATACTACCAAATCTTTATTATATAGTAAGGTCATAGCTGAGTGTCGTAGAAATGATTTTGGTTCACAATTGTGGGCTGTGAAAGCAATTGAACATTGTTAAAAATTTTATTTTATTTTTTTTTTCTCCTTCTCTATTTAGGCTGAGATGCTGAAACTTGGCCTAGGTGCAGCACCTTTCACATGTATCAGGATAATAAATTATGAATACCCTACAACAACTCTCATAATTCCGGTGAGAAACCCCCTAAAACAGTAGTATCCCATCTGAGATTAACTAATGACGGCTATGATCTGTTAATAAAACTCCTCAAGGATAATTATGCTGATCCAGAAGTAAGAACATCACATTTAGTTCATGAGCTGTTGCATTTACCCCCACCGGAGGCTTCAGCTGATTCACTCCAAGTCTTCAAGCTGGAGGTAGAATCATTGATCAATGCCCTCAGCATGACAGCAGATACAAACGGGGCTGAGTGGGTCTTGAAAATAATTGTCCAGGAGAAAATACCTAGGGATATATTGAGACAAATGAGTGCTCATTACAATAAAAGTATCTTATCCATGAATGAAATATCTGAGGGTTTAAAGTCAGTAGTTCATCAATTACGAACACATGACAAATTAAAACCACCAAGTAAACCCTCAGAAACCAATAATAGTAAACCACAGAGTACCAAAGGTACTCCAAATCAATCTAGGCAATATAATTCAACACTAAAGTGGAACAGTAGCAGTGTGGGAGTATATGCAGTGGGACCCTCCAAGCCTATAGTTACTGTGTCACCCAAGAACGTGACACCAAAGGGTACTGGAAGCTATGGAACATGTTTGTTCTGCAATGAGAAACATTCAATGTACCACTGCCCTAATTTTCCTGATAGTGACGCCCGTGTTGAGCGACTCAAAGATTTGCAAAATTGCACGAGGGGCCTCAGGAAACATAACATCAAGGACTGTGAGACCCAATTACACACCTGTAATAGGTGTAACAAAGGTCAGCACCATGCAGCATTGTGCAGAGACACCAAAACAACGTCTCCAAACCCCAAGGTGGAAGATAGCATTCCCACCACAGTACAGTACTGCAAGGTGCAACAAACAAAGAGTGTCCAATCGGCAAAGTCTAAAGGTAATACGACTTTGCCTACTGCCCAAATTACCATCCTGAATAAGAGGGCCAAGGTCCATACCCGTGGGTTGTTTGACCAAGGGTCCCAGAGAACATATGTCACTAAAAAGGTGGCAGATGAACTACAATTAAAGCCTGTAGCCCAGATGTCATTCAATATCTCAGGGTTTGTAACAGATGCAGGACCTCAAGTCTACCAGGTGGTACAACCATCAGTACGTTTAGGCAGGTACGTCTGTAGAGTACAAGCCATTGTGGTGGACAAAATACCAGTAGACCTACAAGTTCAAGATCTGAGAGCAACAGCCAAATTCCTGAGAAATAGAGGAATAAAATTGGCAGATAATATTAAGTCTGATCACCTCACTGACTGCGGTCTCCTTGTAGGGACAGACTATTGTCATCGATTCATTGGTAGCCCTACTAAATATCAGGGCATAACCATGTTAAAGTCTGCAGGAGGTAAATTACTCTCAGGCCCAGTATCAAGCCTGAGGAGACCTATGCCTGCAGATAAACAATACCAATAGAAATCTAAATTTGTCAGCTGATTATATTTCTCCAGTAGCATTATACTAAGGAGATTACAGCTGACTATAGTAACAGAGGTTGATGTTAGTATCATCATTTAAAGCTGAAGATGAGTTCATGAGGCCTCAGTG